CCAATATATGCAAGTTTAACGGTGTTATAAAGTGAACACTGGTTAAAAATGACCCATTGTCTAACCTAGTTATTTTGCCTTCAGCTATGTTTTTTCGAAAATTTTTTTTCTACCATTCGATAAAGCATGCAAAGATGCAGGGCATCTCGTGCATTGATTTTTAAAAAAGTCCATTCTGTAAGCCAGAAAGGTTTCCACAATTCAAAGTCCTTGAAAAAAGGCCAAAAATCGGAGCACGAGATGCCCTGCGTCTTTGCATGCTCTATCGAATGGTAAAAAAAGTTTTTTCGAAAAAACATAGTTGAAGGCAAAATAACTAGGATGAAAAATGGAAAAACATAAAAACATTTTTTTTGGAAAATATTTTGGTGCTTTTTTAAATTTTCTGCAATTTGGGTGTGGGTGTGGGTGTGGGTGTAATTTTGAATGTAAAATACTTTTCATATTTCAGGCAAACAAAGGTACTATTTATCTTCGTGTTCGTTTCTAGTTAAGAAATATTCGAAATGAAAGCATGTTCAAATTTTGTTGCGCAGGAATGGAAAAAACACGAGTGTCGGAACTGCTTTCAGAAGAAGGACAATCATAGTGGCAGCCAAGCAACAATAACAGCTGATTCAACCGTATCGTCGTCAATGCCTGACAAAAAACTAAACTCTTTATCACCTAATAAACCAAATAGAAAATTTTCAAAACATGATGATGAATTCCATACAACTCTTCCGAAACCTCCATCAATGAACAGAAGCCGCACATCTGATACTACGGAATCAAATGTGTTATCAGTGGGTTCTAATCGAGATGATATGCATTCTAGCGAACTAATCCCATGCCGATATGGAGTAAACTGCTATAGGCGAAATCCGACTCATTTTGAAAAATATTCTCATCCAATCGAGTTTATAATCGAACCAGTAGCCGTCAAACTAGTTACTGGTTTATCTTCGGAACAGGAAATTTAATTGCATGATACCATTGCAACAGGGGCCGATGATCTCGATCAGAAAAACAACAATGAGATCAGTTCGGAAATGATTGCAAATCTTGAAGAACAATTGCTACAACAACAGTATGATTTACAAAAACATATTCGTCTAGCTGACGAACGTTTGAGAGCGTCCATGACTGATTCCGAAGTGAAATTAAAAAAGTATGAAGAACAAATAGAAACATTACAAAGTAATTTGATAGCAATGGCCACATATCACCAACAATTGGAAGATGCTTTGGGAGATGAATTGGATAAGCGTGAAAAACGTGAATTAGAGAAAAAACGAATATTATCAATCAAACGTGATACACCCAGCTATTGGGGTCCGAATGCATTCGAGCAGCCCTATCGAGAAGTAGACATTCAAATTGGTTCAGCCGAATTCAATATTATTAGTCAATTACTCAACGATACCATTGCAGTTCACGACCATAAATTTGGAACAATTTATCGAAAAGATCCGACAGAATTCATTGTTATGAATATTCATCGAGTTCAAAATGATAAACTTTGGCATGAATATTGTTTCAAAAAAGTACGCATGGGGAAAACACTAAACATTCTGGCATGCATGTTATTGAAGAAAGGACGAGTGAAACAATCTTGAGAAAGGAGCAGAGCTGGGCAAGTCAAGCCAAGTCTGACTTGACTTGTGACTTGAAAAACATCTGACTTGCCCAGCTCTGGAAAAGAGATCATAATAAATATTAAAAAGAACTGCATATCGAGTAACGTCACTAGGTAATGAACAATATATTTTTATCCCTCTTTGTTTAGGAGCAAATTATCGAGAGACACAATCGCAACCTGAAAGCCTGTGCAAGTTCGAAGTATTTGGAAAATTATCCATTTCTAACACCGCTATTGGATATCAATGCTAATGAGTACTGGTTATTTCATGGTTGCGATCAAGCAATACTGCCATTTCTATTGCATAGCGGTTATGATCCTCGAGTGTCAAGTTTGGATGGAATGTTTGGTGGTGGATTTTATTTGGCTGAAAATTCAAGTAAATCTAATCAATATATTCCATGTCCGGGGTGTGGAGCGAATTCAATATTTACGGGTAGTGGATGCAAATGTCACAATCAAGAAAATATAAAATTCTCAATTGTACTCTATAGAGCGGTACTAGGAGATGTACATATTGCTCGCGAGTATGATAAGAAAAAGTACAGAGGAGAAAAGGGACGTCGGGTGCGTCGACCGCCATTGAAAGACAACGGCATACTTCATGATTCTGTATTGGGTGAAAGTATGGACTATGGCGGAAATCTTTTAAAATATCGCGAAGTTATTTTATATGAATGCGGCCAAGCATATCCAGAATATGTCATCGAATTTCGGCGATCCGCTGAAAATTCCAAACCGCCAGCTGGTGTCAAAAAAGTGAAAGATAGATGTTATGATTTTCTCAGAAATACATTTAAACTAAGACCTGAATAAAAGCTGATGGCGCATGCTCATTGGGATTAAAATGTGAAACACGATGTAATTAATAATTCTAATCAAAAAAGGGTGTGGGCGTGGGTTTAAGTAAATGGAGACTACATACACCCCACACCCACACCCTTTAAAGATTGCTTATTCGTTTTAATTTGAATAATAATATTATTTATTTGAAAATTTTGAATTAAATACGAAACTCTTTGAATAATAGATAATCACAATTTGTTATTGTTGAATCAAGCATTGGCTTATTTTACAAAACTACTTATTTCATCACTAATTAATAAACGAAGACCTTTATCATGAAACTTTAAAACTAAAACTTTTTACTACCTTCCAATAAATCTATTTCTACATGTTGAGTAAAATAATTTTACAATAAGATATTCATTTTCATCCCCAGGTTGATGATTTTTGCATCCAAGTTTCTAGCATTCCCGATGTTTTCCTGCGGGATTCGGCCCGTACTTCTCAACGTGAATCAAATAAAAGTGAGTGCAAATAAAATTGATGTAATGAAAAAATATTTTCAATATTGCCATTGCTCTGAGAACTTTCCTCATTGTTTATAGAATCAGTTTTTAAATTTAGAGATTCTTCGAATATGTCATGATATGTCTAGAAAAAGAAGGATCTTATTTTTGAAATGAACTCAATAGCTATCAAGTCTTTCAGATTTATGAGCTATATTCAACACTTATTACCGCAAATAGTTACTACTATGCAGGGTATTGGTGTGCATTAGCAGAAGACTCACATTCAAATACATAACCATGGATATTCTAGCATTTGTAATTTTCACATGTGTCAATTCTGATATGAAAGTAGGTTGTGTTTTCTCTCAACAAAATTTTCATCAATCAATTAAATCAAGTATTTTTTTTCATATAAATTAACTACAGAAATATTTATTTTATTTTACTCCGTTCAGATAAATAGTAAATCATGCTAATATCTGTATGATTGTAACGTTGAATAATTTTCTTTTTTTCATTACCAGAATGTAAGACATTAGCGATTAGATAGGCAATCATTTAAAACTTGTGTTTATAAGAATTTTCTCACTACAAAAATGATTTTGTAAAACATCACTCCAAAGAACTGATGAAACATAGTGAGAATTTACCATCACTTTCTCTTCCCTTATCGAGCATGACCGATATAACATCAAAACTCAAGTTTACTGTCTATATTTTCAAACTGCTGAAAACTGCAAGTTTTAATAAACATTTGAAGAAATTAATTTTATTTAAAGAATAATTGAGAACAATAATCACCACACAATTGGACTAGTATAAAAAAAAATAATCTTTGACATGTTCTGGAAGTGAACAAATAGTGTCACTATACAAATAATATATTTTTGAACAATTAATTCGCGTTGTATCGCTTTTAAAATTGTGTGTAACATTTTCGAGTAGTTGATGATTGGTAACAAGTACCACACGGTATGGCAAACATGTTTTAGTATCCATTAAAAATTGTTCAATATAATCATCATGAACTTCAAATAAATCGAGATCATTAAGATGAGGATATTTAACAATTGAGCAATCTCGATCATCATGTTCTGGTTTTCTGCATTGTTTATTGTTTTGTGGTTTTAGATTAACTAATTTTAATTTTTCCATCAATGGAAATGATTGAGCAATACGAAGAAAAAATGCATGTTCAAAAGGTCGTTCATCAAACAATGATACTGCACGAACACATTCAAATAATCCACCTGGAAAACTATTTGTTATCTGCTCGTACATTTTCAATTGATATGGATATGAATAAATATGACATTGACCTACTCTTGCCATTGAAAAATAATCAGTACAAGAAACAATTCGATTATGTTTAAAATTTCTGAATGTGTTTTGAATATTTTCATTTGACGGCAAATCAATTTGATCTTTAAGATCAATGCTTGAATGAATATTAGATGCAAATTTCTTTAATTGTACCATATGATCAATAATGTCCTTCAAATTGTTTCCATCAATAAATTTGTTTCTACCAACGATTTCAAAAGTCAAACTGA